GTGTCGGCCAACACATGCCTACTCTGAGTATTTGAAGGATATCGGAATTGGGGGTGTCAAAGAGAGAAAGAGAGAGAGAGGGGAGCGGTAGGGGTTGGGATGTCAGTGCATTCTCTGTTGCATTTTCAGATAAGTGCCTTTTTAAATTACATTTTGTACCAAATTTTTACTTTTTTTTTTATTGTTTCTTGCATTTATGGCTGTGTGCATGTGGTGATTGAAAGGTCAAAAAAAAATTGCAAATCTTTTTTCACTATTTGGTTAGGTTAGCCTTCTTTTTGTTTTAATCAATTTTGGGATTTTCTGGGTCTCTATATACTTGGTTGTTTCGGGGTTTTTCTTCCCATTCTCGGTCCTTCCCTGTCTGAAATTTTTTCCAGGGTTCTTTCCTTAACTTTTTTTTTTTTTTGCGTTTTCAATTTTTTGCATATGTGCTTTGCCATTCGTGTTTGATTACAATATTTATGCTTGTAATAAACCCTTTGAGTGTATTGTTAGCTTCTATTTAGAGTGTTGTTAGTTGTTGTTAAGTTGCTGCCATTTTTTGGTAATTAGTATTAAAAGTTTTTTATCTGTGATTTGAATTGGAGCAAAATTAGTAAACACAATAGACTGATTTACAATCTATGATTTTCTGAAGAAAAAAAAAATCCATTTTTAAATTGAGCTCTGTTTTAAATTTTTTGTATTTGTGCCTGTGTATGTATATGTACATCTGTGTGTATGTGCATGCATGTGTATGTGTGTATGTATGTCTGTCCACGTGTAAAAAACCCTTTAACTAAACATGTTTTTACAACTTTTAAACACTCACCTTTGTTGAAAAGTGCAGTTTATATGTGTGCATGTGTATAAGCATGTGTATAAATGTATGTGCAAGTATATGTATCAATATATACCTAAGTATATGTATAGCCATCTGTATATGTATATGTATATGTGTGTATGTACATGCATATGTATGCATGCATGCATCTCTGCGTGTGTGTGTGTGTGTGTATATATATATATATGTATATATATATATATATATGTATGTATGTATGTATATGTATGCATGCATCTATGTGTGTACATGTATATGAATGTATGCATGCATGCATGCATCTGTGTGTGTACATGTACGTAGATGTGTGTATATGTAAGGTTTAGGGTTTATGTAGTTTGTATCTGCTTCTCTCTGTGTGTGTGCGCACGCGCATATGTATGTATGCATGTATATATGCATCTGTGTGTGTAAAACCGTTTATGTGTGTGTGTGTGTAAAACCCTTTGACCTTTGAATGCGATGTTTTTATTTCGATTGTTTGAGAACGAGAAAACTAATTGTTCCTCTCTTTTTATGGATTGCAGGAAACATACCGCTGACTCGGGATTTTGCATTACAGGTTTCATTCACTAACCCTAAATTTTTAATGTTGTGCAACTATAACTTTTTGTAGCTTAATTATTTGTGTTGTACAAAATGTTTTTCATTTGGTGTTTATTTTGGACAACGATGCGATTAACTAGGATTCTTTCAAAAACCTTTAAAAAAAACGTTACTCCTTTAATTGTTTGTGGATTAATCTATGTTTCATTTTCCGTATGTGTTTTATCTTTTGCCGATGAATTTTAAAATTTGCCTTCATTATGTAAAAACAATATCTTTTATGGTTGCATCTTTTGTTGCCTCAAACTTCAAAATCCGCCCTTTTGATTCTGCATGCTCTTTGATGTACTTTAAATTCAGTTTAAGTGCAAGTTAAAATAGCCATATCGGTTAACTTTGGTCTTCGGTTATCAAATTATGTTGAATTATTTGTGTTTGCTTGTGTTTTTTTTTTTTTTTAAATTGGTTGAACTAAGATGTGCATTTTCTAGATTAATCTAATTGAAAATCCATTACGGAATAAGATCCCGCAGCATCGCGGGCAAGTTTTCTAGTTGATACAAATTTTGAAGAATGAAAGACGAAGACGTCGTCTTGGCATATCTAAATAGAGTAATGGCATTTCTTCCAAGATTTGGTAGCGACTTTACGTTTTGAGAAATTTTGGTTTCGCGAAATGATGGGCAAACCAGAACCGACTCCCAGCACAAACGTTTGGCATGGTCTCGACTCTCAACCGTACACAACTGAAGCCGTTCGGCAGCCAGGGCTAAGTAAACAAAGGATAAAAGATTGATGAGGCATGTTGAAGACTAATCAGTGCATGATCACCGCTTTACGACTCTAACCTTGACACCATTCTTGAAATTAAGAACAATGCCATACTCAAGTGCCAGAGGTTTCTCCATGTTGGGAGAGTGCCGGAATACATACTTCCGGTATAAATGAATCAGCGAGAGCTTTAATTCTTGTAGTGAAAATTTCTGACCAATGCATGCTCGTGGCCCGATTCCAAATGGTATAAAAGCGTAAGGATGCCTTTGTTTCTCTTCGTTGCAATCTGGATCAAATCTCTCTGGCCTGAACGTGTCTGGTTCCGGAAAGTTGTTTGGATCTTTCGCTAAAACTCCGAGTGCTAGCCACACCCAAGTCCCCTGCTCCTCGAAAAAAGTTAGGCCCATAAAGTTTGCACTCATTTCCAATTCACATAGGAAAAGTAGAACAATACCTTTGGTAGAAGATAGCCTCCTATTTCGACTTCTCTAGATGTTTCTCTTGCAACCAATGGTGAAACCAAGTAAAACCTCATTGCCTCTTTAATAACCTGCATTTGAAAAACCACTAGGAAGGCATGATTATCCAGTAAATAAAGCCCTAGGAATTTCAAAGCTTTTACGAAAGTCTAAATTTATATGAAATTCGGAAGACATGCCTGATCAATATAAGGAAATTTGTGTTGAAGATCATAAGCAGTTGGCATCTGATCAGGAGGTCCAAATCCATCAATTTCCGCCAGCAACTTCCTCTCGACTTCTGGGTGTCCAGCTACCAAGTAGACAGTTGAAGACAATGTGAATGATGTAGTGGCTGATCCAGCTAGGAGATGCTCATAAGTAACCGCACTAATGTAGTCTTGAGTGAAGACATTCTTTGCAACAGTTTCCGACTCCCTCGCATTCATTATGAGTGACAAGAAGTCCTTTGAACCGCGTTCACTGTCTTTCATTCTTTTCACCACAATCTCATCAAGCCGGCCACTCAACTTCCGGTTTGTACGCTCAACCTTCCAGTCCATTGTCCCAGGAATTCTTTTCAAGACCTGCCTAAATGGCTCCTGGAGAATAGGGGCAAGTAATCCCAGTATAATTGAGAAGGAACCGGATAAGTCCATCTTAAGCTGAGTAGTGGAATAGATGTGTTGGTTAATAAAATCTGAGACTTGGTCATCGTCGTTGTTGTCTTTGCTGTCAATCTTGTCGATTGATTCGTTGATGGATTCCAGTTTAGAGAGGCCAAAGTTGACTCCGAATGCAGCTTGTCCTATTACATCAGTGGCCAACCTGAGGGAGAGGTTAGAAAAGGTAATATCTTCCGCTTCTTTGGAGGAGTCGAGCTTTTGAGTTGCAGACTCGATGAACGACTGCATTGTGGGCACAAGGCTGGCTAGGTGTGATGGCTGATACAACGATAATATAGTGTTTCGCATCGTCGACCATCTTGCATCCCTGCAGGATATACGTTTGAATTCCATCAGATTATTCAATAAATTTGATGACTACTGTAACTGATAGATACTCTACACTATATTTCACTTAGCCTTTCAATACAGTTTTAAAATTCTGTGGTCATATCTAATTGCGTCGTGTATCGCACTTTAGCCCACCTGTCAGTTTTTCTCGTATGTTTTGGGATCACATAACACAATTTAGTTGACCAAAGAATCTATGAACTGAATGGAAGGATCAAGGTTAAATAGGAGTATAAGTTTCGTAACCACTGTCGTATATAGCCCGTACAACAAATACCTGGTGAAGAAGAGACCCTTCTGATGGAGTGGGGAAGCTGCGATGGGAGACGGAATGCTTCTGTTGTTGATATCTTTGAAATTTTTTATTCCTACTTCTCTACAAAGCTCTGCATCTGCTACAATTATTAGTGGCTGTCTACCCATATGAAACCTGCCAAGATGTGTAGAATCAAAAACTTAATAGCTATACTATCGCCATACGCATGCGCGACCAGTTTTAACAAATTCACAACTAAAGTGACATGACTAAAATATACCGTTAATTACGAGATCCTATGTTTACCAACCATCATCCAGTCGAACCATACATTTCAATCATATAACGTATACGATTTTATGAAATTTCTGTGGAAAAAAATTGTAGAAAAGAAGACATAATTTTTTGTCGCAAAGGAGATTACAAATGCAAATCTGCTACATATATATATAAAATATACACACATGTATACATACTAACCTGAAAAGAGGGCCATATTGTTTGGCAAGAACTGAGAATACATCAGGACCATACTTTGCCAGCAAGGGAAGGTGTCCTAGCAAGGGGATAACTGGAGGGCCAGGTACCCTTCTCACCCTCCAGTAGGGCCCATACAAGTAACTCAAAACTCCTGCAAACATTGCCAACGCCGTGAAAAGGGTCGATGGTGATACCAGAAAACCATTGGTGAACAATAACTGCAGTTCCATGCTTGTTGCTGCCTATCAGTTTCTAAATCCTGATTACTCAAAGCGCTATGGTTGCTTAGTATTTGCTACTCTTCAAAAGATTCTTTGATGAACTCTTATAGAAGTATATGGTCCTTGTCGCTACAGATTGAAGATGCTATAACATTTAAGAAAATATTCTACTTGGCATAAGTACAAGTTTGGACTTATTCCACATAACCCCAATGTTTAATTTATTACACAAACATTTGATCTTTTGTGGTTGACGTTTCCTTCCTCGTTTTGTATTTTAATTCATTTGTCTTTTTGTAGATGTGAATCACTTATTTTAGGATGCCACAAGAAATGTTGGAATTACTTTAGTCTAAAGAAGGCTTTTCAATTGCACTGTACCAATGAACAGTGTTTTGAACCACATTTCGGTTTATTTACAAGATTGCCATCGCCCCTTCACTGCTGTTCAGATTGAAATTTCTATTTATTTACGAAATTGCCACCGCACTGTGTGCAATACTTTTCCGTCTGTTCCATCCTCTCTTTCATACCCTCTTTCTCTCCCGACTCTCTCTGTAAACATCCATCAAATCCCCCCATCCCTCCCTTTTCTCACTTTGTAACTTCCCTCAGATCCCTCACCGATTCTCTCTCTCGCCATTCTCAGTCTCGCCAGCCGCGAACTCCTTGACGGCTCGCCATTCTCACTCTGTATGTTCGGCTGAGAGAACTCATTCAACCGCAGAAACGAGGTGTGAAGGTGCGGACTTTACCAATTCTGCGCTTTCTTTTCCAATTAATATCTGAAAATTTACAATTTTAAAATTTTTGTTTTATCAGAAACGATCGGAGGAAGTGGGAAATGGCGAGTGCAGTGGACCCAATTTCATGGCAGGTTGGTTTAAAGCAGTTCCAAAATTTGCGATCGTTTTAGATATTTTTAGGTTTTTCTGATTTTTGAAAAAACCATGGTTAAGAGTAAATTCATTATAATTTAATTTTTATTGAATTCAGGTAACCATCTTCAGTTTTTCGGTTTGATTTAAAGGGATTTTTTAGGTAGAAAAGCTAGGGCTTTCCGGTGAGTTCTTCGGGTTGTACATCCGGGTGGCTTTAATTTGTTTAAATTTGGGGCTTTTGTGATTTGGGACTTATAAATGGTTTGAAATTTACGTTTTTCTAATTTCAGTACCCACTCAGAAGTTTGTACTGCCTCATCATTAGAACTGTTTCCTTTTGCTCTTCTTCTCGAAACAAGGTTGCAGATCCACAGGCCATCAAGATATGTCATTTAATTATATATTGTATATGTATGTATTGTATTATGCATGTGTGTGAATGCGTTTTTCTCTGTTAATCTGTATTGGTTTTCTTCTGATTTAGTTAATGGACTTTGTTTTTATTTCAGATAATTTGGTTCATGCTAAAGTTATTGAAAGTACGATGGAACCAGTGATCTTTCAAAAAGGTTGGTTCTTCTATATTTGTATCCCTTTGGTGGTTTTGAATGGACTTCCTGTATTCTTAGTGAAGCTAAATTGAATAGCTGTTTTTCGTATACTGTATTTGCTTTGTTAAATTAGTTCTTTTTTTGTTGAAAAATGTTATTTGGTTTTGCAGATCAAAGTTTTTCAGCAAGAAAATTATCTGTCAAATTAAATTTATTGTTATAATTCTATATGTTCTTGGTTTGCATTTATTTTACTTGATTGTATTAGTGGTTGCTTTTGTTTTCATCCATCTACCAAAACTTTGCCTACACTGTCCATCTCTGTTCTCCGCCGTCCGTGACTGTAAGTCCTTTTTCTTTTTCCAGATTTTTCAATCCTTTTATGTTTCATTTTATGAAATCTTCATGTTTGTGCATATATATATGTGTATATATTGTTAGATATGGGACTGTAAGCAGTAGTGGATTAGTGTCAAATTGCACTTATTTAGTGGTTGGGGTGTAAGTAATGTGCTTATGCGTATGTGTTTGTTAGTTTTAATTAAGTTTTCTGCATTTAAAGAGTGGTTAAAGAAAAGTTGTATGTAATTGATTTTCTGCTATAATGTTTTGAATTCCTTATTTATATAGTTCTACATGTTCTTGGTTTGCATTTATTTTACTTGATTGTATTAGTGGTTGCTTTTGTTTTCACCCAGCTACGAAAACTTTGCCTACACTGTCCTACACTGTCCATCTCTGTTCTCCGCTATCCGTCATTGTAAGTCCTTTTTCCTTTTCGAGAATTTTCAATCCTTTTATGTTTCATTTTCTGAAATCTTCATTTTCAATGCATAAGTAAATCTGGGCTGAAATTCCTCTCTAGGGATTTTCGTTTGTAGTAGGATTGAATCGTTTAAATTCATCTTCATCATTGTATGAGAGTGGCCATTTTTTATGTTGTTGTCATCTTTCTTGATATCCTAATTGATTTGACTGGATTAATATGAACTTAGTAATGCATTCTGGCAGCAGTATGCATGTTAATTCAACCAGAGAGTTAAGGTTCTATCACACAACAGGAAACTGGATTGATACCTACTACCTGGCTATCAGTAAATGCTTAATAACAAATTTAGATAGATTATAAAGGTTCATGCATTCACAATCTCATTTTAAACTTGAAGGTAGTTGAGCTGAATATACTGAAAGATAGAGATGTGCGCACCGCTTTCATCATTTCAGTTATGAGAAAAATGTTTGAAAATAAAATATATTAATTTTTGGTTCGAATTATTTAATCCACATGAGAGCTATTGCCTTAAGGTCATGAGTTTTTTGTTGTAATTGGCGTTTCTTATGGGTCAACACAACACAAGCTTTACTAGAGCACGAGCTAATACTTTACTAGACTAAAGTAGAATGATTGTGTTTTCCAATTTGTCTGATTGTAATCAATCAATAATTTATTAAGCCAGTAGATTAAAGTAGAATGATTGTGTCTTCCAATTTACTAGAGCACTAGCAAACAATCAACTTTCTGAATCCCAATTTGTTTGCAGCGTGTCAGCAATGAATTAAAACAGTTTATGGTAGATAATCAATTGGAAACAGCTTCAAATGGGAAGTTGGGCTGAATTGGCACTTGATTGGGCTTTAGACTGAGAGAGTAATCTGGTACAATAGAGCCGATACTAACATCTGGTTCTGTCTAGACTCTAAATCACATCTTTGGTTGTCACATTTGAAACTTTGAATTCTTGAGTTTATACAAATTTTAATTCTCATTAGTTAATGCTTAACATTTGGCCTTTTGTTTAGAATAAAATCATTCCAATTTTTTGGTGTGTTTTTAGGGGGGATTTGGGATATGGTTTATGTTTGGCCTATGTGAGTGATCCCTGCTACAGGAATGACCTCTATTAAATTTGATTTTCCTAAGCATTTCTTTTGTTTAATGTCAAAACTATTTATAAATCATATTTATAAGCAAGTGTTTATATTAGGAGGTGGTACGTTGACTAAGCTTTTAAATTAGAAGGTGGAGCTGTCTTTAAGGTTTAATGCAATAGATAAGTGGGTTAGATTTCTTAACTTTTAAATTGAATGTACCACTGATGTGGGTTTTTGACCTTCTATTGGATTTATCACTGGGTTAAAAATTCTAAAGAAATGCATGAACTTGGTGGTTATAATGATGTGTTTTGCTGTTAGGTTTGGGTATTGGCAATGTGGGTCAGATCCCATTTTCTGTGACACTGCAGGTTTCTGCCTTTGGGATTTGTGAAACAGGAAAAACGAATTTTGGGTGTCTGAGTCCAAGGCCATAAAAACCAAATCTTTCAACAAATTTATAGACCTTTGCAGAGTTATGATTAACAGAGATTTCGTGAAGTGCAGTATTTGAGTCTGTTTTTGGCTAAATGTGAACATTGTAATACATTGGTAAGGAGATGCCTTGAATTTTCCCTTATCTGGACAGTACTGAAATCAGTAATGTGAAACCTCCTTAGTTTACGTTCCATTGTTGGAGGAAACTCTATACAACTTTTGATTTGCCAAATAATCTGCATGCTGTGTAGGTGCTTTATAGTGCATGTAATCATATCAATATTTCTTGGGGATGGATGGAGGGTTGTGTGGGTATGCTAGGCTGATAGCATACTTTTTTGCTTCAAAACTGAGTTGCTATGGTGCTTCTTGGATTTCAGAACATTGGCTATGTTCTATGGTACACCAGCCTATACAATGTTATACGGAATAGGACCAAAATATTTGCTTTTTGAAAGCGCTAATGAGCAAGAAAATGGAAATCTGTATTGAAATGGAAGCATGTTCAATTTAATGTTTGTTAAAGGACCTTTTTTTTATTATGGTTTCTTCGGAGTTTATTTTTCATTCAGTGATGTAAATAATTTTCATCTTAATTTGTTTGTTTAATATAGGTAAGGGTGCTCTGCAAGAAGGCCAAGGAAATATTAATGGAAGAAAACAATGTCCAGGTGGGCCTTTTTAGTTGCAAGTTTCTGTTTCATGTCTTTCTTTGTATTGTTTCATACAGGTTTTGGACCTATAAAGATTTGGGCATGTCATGAGGTAAATGAATAACCATTTTGGGTTTTATGTGTTGCAGCCTGTAAAAAGCCATGTAACTATCTGTGGTGATATTCATGGACAATTCCATGATCTGGCGGAGCTTTTCCACATTGGAGGAAAGGTATTGTTCTGATTTGGGCTATTTAATTTATCGTATGTGTTCTTCAAGGTTGTTAATTGGTTGCTACTTATTGGTGATGTTTTCTCTTTCTTATTTTGTAGTTTTCTGGTTTGTTCTGCTGGATGGTTCACTTTCCAAAAATAACATTAATTTCCTGTTGCAATTTTTTTGCAGTGCCCAGAAACAAACTATTTGTTTATGGGAGATTATGTGGACCGTGGCTATTATTCAGTTGAAACAGTGACTGTAAGTATTGAATATTTTTATTTCTACTTCTTATCTTTCAATTAGTTAAGCTATAATTTTAGGGTTCTCCTTCTGGCACTAAGATAAATGTATTTTGGAAACTCTGTGTAATGATTTGGTTTGATTATTTAGGGTTTTGATCAATGGCAAGCCCAAAAGGCCTTACTATCTGCCTCTGGAGGTATGCCAGTTTCTTTTGATTTTCATATTATTCTTTCTTAGACTCTTAGTCTTATCTTTTTGGAACTCCTTTGTCTGATATCTAGATTTGTGCTTCCCCATGGGGTTTCTCTTGGTGTTTTAGCTTTGTTCATTTGTTTCGCTTCAACGGTATACAAAAGCATTATCTTCAAAGCAGAGGGCATCCTTAGTTGAAAAATTAAGTCAGAAGCCTCAGGAAAGAATAAGAACTATGACTGATATAGGTTTGTAGGTCATGAAAGGTTTAGTTTCTTTACCACATATTGTAATAATTCTTCTTGCTCATTTGATTTACTATTGCAGGCTATGAAAAAATACCAGTATGATGATGATCCTGTGCTTGCTACATGTGGTATTTCTATAAATAAGGACTTGACTCAGGTCAAGGGCGGTGTTCTTGAGACTCCGAAGGTAAACTGTCACTTTATCTATGGGCTCTGCGGGGTTTTTTTGGGGGGGATTTGCGACTTGGATATTTCAAATGAGCTCAATGTGGCTCATAGGTTGCATCGAATGCACAAATGAGCTCAATATGGCTCATCGGTTATAGAGAATTAGAATTTGCAACTTGGATATTTCAAATGACTAACAATTTGACTTTTCTTCCCTGTCAATTTTAGTGCTTTTTCTTTTCTTATTACTTTTAGGAGTTCATTTTTGAGATATATTATGACTAACAAACTTGAATTTTTTGCTATTTAGTAGTGAATTTGTAGCACAGTGGAAATATGTGGAATGAGGGCGATGTCTTCTACTTGCTCACCCAAAGGTTCCAATTTTTTGCATTCTTTTGGGTTTTTTTTTTAATTTTATTTATGAAATTTGATGACTAATTTTTAAATAATGAGAAATTAGTTCTTCGATGTGAAATGTTCATTTTTCAGTGTTTCTATTAAAACAATGAAATCTTAATCTTCTATCAAATGGGCTGTAATTTCAAATGTTTTAATGTAAACTGTTCACTGATTATGGTTGTAGTGGGTTGGTCTGAATTGCAGGATTATTAAGGTCTGGAAAAGTTGTAGCCTGAGATGGACCAACTATCAGAGGCCAAACTTGAAGAGAGGTCTTTTATCATAATATGAGGAGAAGATATGTGGATGAAGAGGTGAGTGAGAGAAATGGTGAGGTTTTATTTTCTGATTTGGATTTTGAAATTGAGTAATTTTCTGATTTGTGTCTTTTGAGTAGGTGTGGGATTTAGTTTCATGCCAGGGGTTGTAATGGGTGGATTGGATGTAAAACTTTCTTTTCGAATTTCAATCCCCCTTAAATCTCTTCATTCCAACCAAACATTTGAGGATTTGGTTTTAATTGTTTGTTTGGACTTTTGAGCTTTTGACCAATTATTTGGATGCTAGGAAAATTTACATGCTATTTGGATACTAGGAATATTCATGGAACGCAAACAAGATTGTTTTCATAATTTTTTGAGAAATGTGGAATTTCGTTTCAGATGGTAGTGACTATTTTTCAAAATCCTATAATCTGATCGAAGTTCTGAATTTCTATTAAGATCAATATTAGTTGTTTTTGGTTCAAGAAATTCCAACATTCTTTGTTGGTCCTTGAAATTTTCATTAGCATTGAGTATAGTGGTTGTTGGGGCAGGTGTGCATGGAAGATGAGAAGACGATCTTCATGTCCCTCGAAACTTCGGGAAGCTCGATGATTCGTCTATGTTTCGCAAACAGGTTTGTTCATTTTCTAAATGTTAATATTTAGTGTATTTACACTCAGGTGTTGAGCCATACGTATATAGATGTATGCATGTTATTTGTTTTCCCCATAATTTTCATATAATTTATGAAGAATGTATACGAACGACAACGATTGAGTGGATTATGCAAGTCTCACCATATAAATTGTAAATTCCACATGATTGTTCTCCTTCCCCCTCTCAAAACATAGTTTGGGTGGATTAATTAAGATATGTGTAGTTAATCTTTTTGTTTGTCTACAAGTCCTGGTTTCAAACTTTTGATGCTTGGTGACTAACAATGTAACATATAATTAATGGGGCAGGCAGTGACACATTTGGGCAGGGCTTAGAGAGGCAGACCCCATATGGTGTATGCCTACACCAACATGACCAAGGTGGTTAGCCCTGCCGGCTGGAGCGACGATAACCACCCTGAATGTAACAAGTAAGCAGATTATGTCATTTAAAACATGATTAAGCATTTTCATATAATTAGTTTTGAGAGTTAATAATATAATTTGAAATTGCAGCAATGTGGCCTGTGAAGAGTACAAGCGCATGTGTCACAGCCCGTTCCAAATTATTATATTCGTGGCTGTGAATGGACGAAATTGCCCTTAAGAAATACTAAATTTGTGAAGCTCAGGTTGCTAATTATCTAGGTTCCTAAGTTTGAAAATAAAATGGAATTTAATAAGGATGGAACTTATATTTTTAGGTTAAAATGTTAAAGTTTGGTGTTTGGAGATTGGAATAAGGACCACGTGGGATCCCCACATCCCTCAAAACCCTCCTCATTTCCCGTTCACTGTCTTTCTCTCTCCTCCTTCACGATTTCTCACTCTCTCTGTCTCTCTCCTTCGAACTCACACGGACCACCACCAAAACCACCCTAAATCTATACCAACGTCAAGTTTAAGACCACATTTGGACTCCTGGAACTTCCACGATCACGTAGACACCAATTTCAGGTAAGTTTTACTTCGGAAAACCTAGATTCTAAACTCCCCGTGGAAGAGCACTGTTCATGATCTTCTAAATGACTACGTTTTAGGCTAAAACAAGATCACAGCGAGCTTAGTGAGGTCCCAAGGAAGCTCGGAGTGCTTCGTTGGAAGTTTTTGGACGTAAGAACACGGAGATCGACAAGCTCAAAGTTTGGCCGGAGCTTTCGAGGCGTTTTCCGGCGAATACCCGGCGAGTTAGGAGTCTAGGTAGGTATCAATCTCTTCGTCTCGTCAAGTACTACAACTTTCCTTTTTGTTTCACTCAATTTCGTTGAGTATTGAAGAAGTTATACTCATTTGAAAAATACCCAGTTTCCGGCGACCTCCGAGGATTTCGAGGCAGTTTCCGGCCAAACCACGGCGAACTAGGTGTTTTGCAAGGTACCATTCTCTTTGTCTCTTCAAGGGCTACAACTTTAGTTTTTGAATCACTTGATTTCGTTGAGAGAAATGACAAAGTTATGGCAATTTGAAAAACTGCCCGGAAAACGGCCGCCGGAAAAACCAGTCCGGCGACCCAAGGAAGAAGAAGGTGCTACAGTAAAAATAAAAAATAAAAATAAAATTATTTTAAAAATATGTCGACGTCCGTGACGTCGAGTAGATCACTGTGGTATATTCATATACCTAAATTGAACACCGTATGAGAAAGTTATTGAAGATTGTTGGTTAGGTGTTCAAATAACGTTTTATAGTTTTCACATTTAGGTGAAAATGTGAATTGATGATCCGACCGTTGGATCATCACCAAACTTTGATACGTTATAATACGTAATATTTGAGGATTATTGGAACTTACGGATTGGGAATCCGAGTTACGGATCTTCCGGAATTGGAATTTTAAGTCCATAATATAAAATGTTAACCGTCACTTAGTTTTGGAAATTGACGGAAATCCAACCGTTGGATGGTAATGAAATTTTAGGATGTTGTCCTAGAGGTATAATGTGGACCTCTGGAAGTTATGGATTTAAAATCTGAGTGGCAGATCTTCCGGATACGTACTGACGTTTATATTTAAGATATTCTATCGATATGAATTCTGAGGTTGGATTTGATTACTATTCTAGGCGGCGATCGTCGTGACGCCTTGATGTGTGGTGCTAGGGAGTTGTTGGATGAACTCCAGGTGAGTGGGCAGTTTTGTTTTCCGTATATATATATATACTTAACGTTTTTCCCAGAAATTGAAAATGCATGAAATTATGTTTAAAATGAAATGCATATGAGTTATGTGGAAAAACGGGAAGTGAAATACCATGCATAGAATTGATATGAAAAGTATATAGAAATGTGAGTTGAAATGCCATGCATAATAATATATATATATGAATGTTATGATGCATATTATTGGTGCGGTGGACGCACAGATGATGATTTAATTATGATGCATGATGTGATAAAATTGAGGTCAAGTGCACCATGGTTAGCTTATAGTATTCACCGCATTCGCCTTGGATTGCAAGTAGATGCTAGTCGTACAGTCCACGCATTGGGAAACGACAGACCAGTTGAAGTCGCGAGAGTGTTAGTGAATTCGACTGGTGGGTGACCTTAGATTATGTGCACAGATGATTTATAGAGAAGCACTAGAGCGTAACTTGTGTGCAGAAGCCGGACGGGTCACAGAGGTGACTCCGGTTAGATGGTAGATAGTATATGAGATCTAGGTTGAACTTTTTCCGCATTGGATTAAATACGGATGATACTTGCAACTGTATGCCTATGGTGATGATGACATGAGCCAGAATGATGAGAATTGTGAGATTGGTGGATAAATGAAGTTTGTGAAAATTGAATTGAAGATGTATAACATTTTGACATTTCTAGGAAACGTATAGGGTTTTGGAGAAGATGTTTTACCGATTTGATTTACAACTGACTTGTTGATGAATGATAAATTTGTTGACTTTGATTATACCTTATTGACTGTTGAGATGTTGTTTGGCATGGCATATTAATATTGAGAAATGTTGTTGATGAGCATGCATAATGATGATATGAGAATTGATGAATACAAAATGATACGATGATATAAATTTTAATGTTTACAGATTTGAAAAAATAGGTTTAGTTTTGATGAGTTTGGTTGGATTATAAGGAAATTTTTATTTAAGGTTTTTTGAGTTACAGGTTTTACTACAACGTTTTGAGAATTTTGCGATTTTCAGGACCACAAAGTTGCCCCTCCAGGTTCACAAAGGGAATTACGACGGGTGTTCTGACAGATTGGACAAAATTAGGACTCAACCTTCAACTTATAAATTGTATCTTAAAGCTTCCGTACTGCGCAAATGGTTACGTCACTCTCACGTGACGGCCAGCATGCCCTCCTTCGGGACGGGGTGTGTCAGTTGGTATCAGAGCATGGTTGCAATCTTGGACATTTTGAGAAGTTCTAGTGAATTCTGTCAGAACTACACCGCCTCGTAGCAAACCACGTAGTTAGAGGAATTTAGTCTCCCTGATTTAGCGGTTTGGGGGAAACTATTATTATGGTGATTCAGTATATTATCAAAATGGACATTTTAAGACGGGTTATGAGTTGAATTTGAATCACCTTATGAAATGATGAACCTGAGGGAGCGGAGTGACGGTTTAACCAATTGGAAAAGATGTTTCAGATTATGCAAGTCAAAGGAAATTTCCTTCTGACAGTGGGTCGAGACGACTACCTGGTTTTGGGTATGAATTTGCATCCTGGTGGAAACAGGAATGTTAATTGTTGTCACCAGAGGAATCAGCCGATTTAAAATTTTTTTAGGAAAAGTTTATCCCTCCGGCATTTATTGATGGTAGTAAACAAGAGTTTACAAATATGAGATAAGGAAGGTGATGATCGAGGGATATTATAGAAAGTTTTCAGACTTGCCTCGTTCCATCCAGATATTGTTGTTAATTTGGTGGAGGTGTTATGTTGTTTTAAGCTGGGTGGCAAAAAGGGAAGTGGTATTTTGGGTGACCACTATCCATTGTAGTTCTTATCAGGAGTATGCTAGATGTTGTTGAGCCTTGAGGACTCTGAGAACATGAGCAACGAGAATAAAGAAGAATAAGAAAAGAATGGGAATTAAAAGAAGACAATAAAGTTAATGATTCGTCATATCAAGAATATCGAAGGATTCAGAGCTTCGAAAGAAGTGAAGCTAGAGTTAATTCTTCCAGCTGAGGTTTTAATGTCGCTGGTCAGAGTAAAAGTGATGGATATACTGGTAATCCCAGATATTTGAGACAAGGTGTCTCGAGTAAAGGAAATGTACTTTGTGCAGCAGGTACAAAATTAACACTTTGGGAAATGTGAAATTAATGAATGTGTTTATGTGAACAGAAGGGACACAGAGTTGTGAATCGTCCCTAGAATCAGTTGTACTCAATAATTTTCCATGATATCATAGTGTCGATTCAGCAGAGTTATGGACTTAGTAGTTTGGTCGGATTGACCGTGAGTACAGAGAGATTTGATGAGTTATATGTTCAGCTGTACAGACCATGAGAAGTGGATTCGATTGACACATGAGAAATTAGTGAGTTATAGGCTCGGCCGTACCGACCACGCGGAGTGGATCCGGCCGACGTATTATTGAGATAAGAGTTGAATCAACCGTATTGGTCATTCTAGTTGACTTCGGCTGATATATTTCTTATTATGTATGATATTACCTAGAGAGTGGTAAATAAATGTAGTTGAGACGAGTGTATGTATTTTGCATTGAGTGACAAAATAGTAATGTTATATCTTTGTGAGTGGTTGCCTACTTATCGAGACAACGATGATTTATCAGTATTGCGGGCTGCAGACCGTAATATTAATAACTCATTCGTGGATTCGTTAAGCAAGCAAACCGGTAGGTTATTTTATGTTAATGTTGTACTTATTTAGAATGTTCAGTATTAATAAAGTATGTATTGTGTCGGTTAAATTATTTCCATTAGAGTGGTTGGTTATAATTGTGACTAAATGGATTGTTACGGGAAACCAGTCACTTTCCATCGATCTGGATGACCAGAGATTACTTTTGTAAGTATGCAAAGTGAAGTGAGTTCAGCCATTATTTATGCTGTGTGAAAGCAAAGAGATTGTTTTGAAAGGCTGTCAAAAATACTTAGCTCATGTGGTGCTAAATGATGTTGTTTGGAGTAGTGTGAATAATGTCGAAAGAGTTAGACTTTTCTTGATGTCTTCTCTGAAAGTATACCTGGATTGTCTTCAGGCAGAGATATGAGGTTCATTATTGATTTGTTGCCAGGTATAAATTTATGTTAAAGATTGGTTCATGATGAGTTAAGGGAATTGGAAATTCAGTTGAGAGAATTGGTTGATAAAAGTTTTATTCAACCTAGTACAACACTTTTGAGGAGCCCCAGTTTGTTGGTGAGGAAGAAAATGGATCTTGAGACTGTTCATTGATTATAGACAATGGAGTCGGGTAACGATTGAGAACCGTTATCCATGGTGATGTACTGATGTTTATTTAACCAGCTCAGAAGTAATTGCGAAGATTCAAAGATTGAATTGAGGTCTGGTTATTACCAATTAAAGATTATGAGCGACGTTGTTCTTAAGATTGTTTTATGAACTATGGTGATGCTATATGGATACTCATGCTGTTTTATGAGTTATTGGATGAAGTATTCCAATAATGCCTTGATAAATTGATATCATTTCCATTGAAGATATTCTGGCATATTCTGAGCCAGAGCAGAGTATGTAAACGTATTAAGTCAATGAAGCAAAGATTGAGAGAACGTTAGTTGTATGCTAAGTTTAGCAAAAGCTAAAGTTAAATGGATCAAGTGGCATTCTAAAATTTGTTATGTCTACTTAAGGTATTCAAGTGAATCCTTAAAGGATAGCAGAAATTGAGAATTTGGAACAACCACGAGTCGTAATTGAGATTTGGAATTTCTTAGCTTACCAGGCTATTTTGGATGGTTGTGAAAGAATTTTTAGTCATTGCTTTGTCATTAACGAGACTGATGAGAAAAGAGGTTGTGTATGAGTGGGAAGGAATTGTAAGCAAAGGATTCAACAACTGAAGTATTTCCTCACTCATGCACGTATTTTGGTATTCCCAGAGAATAATGGTAATCATAAATTTTTAGTGATGTTTCTTGAATGGTATTGGATGCATGTTGATGCAAATGTTAGGGTGATTGCATACGTTTCACGATAAATGGAACCTCATGAGATGAATTACCCTACTAGTGATTTGGAAGTCACGATTACCATCCTTGCTGTGAAGTTATGGAGACATTATATTTTAGTGGGAATGCAAGATTTTACAAATCAAAAGAGTCTTCAATATCCATTACTTGGAAGGATTTTGATATGAGGCAGCGAAAGTGAATTGTATTGCTTAATGAACATGATTGTACGATCAGGGTGATCGTAAAGTTTGTTCTAGCTGAAGCACTTGATAAGAAGACTGCAGTAAGAATTAATATCTGGTACGCTTGCCAAGATTATCTTCTTGTGGATTGGAAATCAACTAAAGTAAAGTTAAGAATGAAAGATCGAGAAGAAGTTATACTTGCTAAGTTTCAAGTTAGGCCTTTTGGTAAGGTCGTACTCGAGACTCAAATGGTATGTGGATACAAGAAAACAAAAAGTATGTGCCTAATGCTGAGGATTTGAAGCAAGCAAATATTGGACGAAGTTCACTGTTCAACTTCTGCAATATTCCGAAAGTAATAAGGTTTATCATACCATTCGACATTTTTATTGGTCAGCAGATTGAGGCAGAAAGAAATAAACCTTTGGATTGAGACAGCTATTTTCTGTTTCGAAACGGAAATGGAAAGAGAATTGGATTACGGAACTGCTAAGTTTCTTAAGTATGTTGGTTGCGCAGTTTCCGAAGTGAAGCCATAAGGTTCATGAAGTGTGTCATGTGTGTGTTTTGTTGACTTGTGAATGGAATATTTCTGGGTAGAGAAAGATTCGATCGAGAAAGAGTTTTAGTAGACCCTGAGACTATGGATGAGTCTCCTCAAGTATTCAGGTGATTAAGTTAACCTAAAAGTAACCAGGAATGACAAAAGACATCAACAGATGGATATGCCACTAATCGAGTATATAAGGCAAATGGTTTTATATTTTAGAAGTGTTCACCTTAGAAAAGTAGAATTTGGATTGGAAAAAGAAGGTCCTGAGAGTTAAGATAGAGTAAATGGTAAAAGTTTTGTGAAGGAATCATTCAGTGGAAGAAAATTACGTGGGAGAAAAAGAATCGGATGAAAGAAACTTACCGAGGTTGGTATAAGTGTTGATGAATTGGTTGGTTGCTGGAATTTCGGGGACGAAATTCTATAAGGAGGGAAGATTGTCACAGCCCGTTCCAAATTATTATATTCGTGGCTGTGAATGGACGAAATTGCCCTTAAGAAATACTAAATTTGTGAAGCTCAGGTTGCTAATTATCTAGGTTCCTAAGTTTGAAAATAAAATGGAATTTAATAAGGATGGAACTTAGATTTTTAGGTTAAAATGTTAAAGTTTGGTGTTTGGAGATTGGAATAAGGACCACGTGGGATCCCCACATCCCTCAAAACCCTCCTCATTTCCCGTTCACTGTCTTTCTCTCTCCTCCTTCACGATTTCTCACTCTCTCTGTCTCTCTCCTTCGAACTCACACGGACCACCACCAAAACCACCCTAAATCTATACCAACGTCAAGTTTAAGACCACATTTGGACTCCTGGAACTTCCACGATCACGTAGACACCAATTTCAGGTAAGTTTTACTTCGGAAAACCTAGATTCTAAACTCCCCGTGGAAGAGCACTGTTCATGATCTTCTAAATGACTACGTTTTAGGCTAAAACAAGATCACAGCGAGCTTAGTGAGGTCCCAAGGAAGCTCGGAGTGCTTCGTTGGAAGTTTTTGGACGTAAGAACACGGAGATCGACAAGCTCAAAGTTTGGCCGGAGCTTTCGAGGCGTTTTCCGGCGAATACCCGGCGAGTTAGGAGTCTAGGTAGGTATCAATCTCTTCGTCTCGTCAAGTACTACAACTTTCCTTTTTGTTTCACTCAATTTCGTTGAGTATTGAAGAAGTTATACTCATTTGAAAAATACCCAGTTTCCGGCGACCTCCGAGGATTTCGAGGCAGTTTCCGGCCAAACCACGGCGAACTAGGTGTTTTGCAAGGTACCATTCTCTTTGTCTCTTCAAGGGCTACAACTTTAGTTTTTGAATCACTTGATTTCGTTGAGAAATGACAAAGTTATGGCAATTTGAAAAACTGCCCGGAAAACGGCCGCCGGAAAAACCAGTCCGGCGACCCAAGGAAGAAGAAGGTGCTACAGTAAAAATAAAAAATAAAAATAAAATTATTTTAAAATATATCGACGTCCGTGACGTCGAGTAGATCACTGTGGTATATTCATATACCTAAATTGAACACCGTATGAGAAAGTTATTGAAGATTGTTGGTTAGGTGTTCAAATAACGTTTTATAGTTTTCACATTTAGGTGAAAATGTGAATTGATGATCCGACCGTTGGATCATCACCAAACTTTGATACGTTATAATACGTAATATTTGAGGATTATTGGAACTTACGGATTGGGAATCCGAGTTACGGATCTTCCGGAATTGGAATTTTAAGTCCATAATATAAAATGTTAACCGTCACTTAGTTTTGGAAATTGACGGAAATCCAACCGTTGGATGGTAATGAAATTTTAGGATGTTGTCCTAGAGGTATAATGTGGACCTCTGGAAGTTATGGATTTAAAATCTGAGTGGCAGATCTTCCGGATCGAACTACGTAGTGACGTATTTTATATAAGTTAAATATTCTATCGATATGAATTCTGAGGTTGGATTTGATTACTATTCTAGGCGGCGATCGTCGTGACGCCTTGATGTGTGGTGCTAGGGAGTTGTTGGATGAACTCCAGGTGAGTGGGCAGTTTTGTTTTTCCGTATATATATATATACTTAACGTTTTCCCAGAAATTGAAAATGCATGAAATTATGTTTAAAATGAAATGCATATGAGTTATGTGGAAAAACGGGAAGTGAAATACCATGCATAGAATTGATATGAAAAGTATATAGAAATGTGAGTTGAAATGCCATGCATGAATTAATATATGATGCATATGTATGAATTGGTGCGGTGGACGCACAGGTAAGAATTGATTTATGATGCATATGTATGAAATGGTGCGGTGGACGCACAGATGAGTATTTAATTACTGTTATGATGATGATGATATATATTGAGCTCAAATCCTGCACCATGGTTTAGTGCTTATAGTATTCACCGCATCGCACGCTCGCCTTGGATCCAAGTAGATGCTAGTCGTACAGTCCACGCGGAGTGGGTACGACAGACCAGTCGCGAGAGTGTTAGTGAGATTCCGACTGGTGGGTGACCTTAGATTATGTGCACAGATGATTTATGAGAAGCACTAGAGCGTAACTTGTGTGCAGAAGGCCGGACGGGTCACAGAGGTGACTCCGGTAGAGTGATAATGATAGATTTTGAGCTCTAGGTTCAACCGTATAGGGCTATTAGAGGGCCTACGGTTGATTACTTTCTTGCACCTGATATGATTATGTTGATGCATTCATACCTTATTACTGTTGAGATGTTGTGGCATGGCATAATTAATATGAGAAATGTTGAGATGACATGGCATGTCATGATTGATAAAGAGATAATGTTGAGATAGTAAAAATGAAGTTTTGAGAATATATATGTATATTTATATTTTACATTTCTGGGAAAGTATACAGGTTTTACGGAGAGGGGTTACAACGTTTTGAGAAATGTTTGGATTTGGAAAAGAATTGTTTTACTGACCCACTCAATTTTGGTTTTGCGCCCCTCCAGGTTCAGGAATCACAAAGGTGTGGTGACTACGAGGAATTCGACGGTGTTCTGACAGATTGGACAAAATTAGGACTCACCTTCGGGTGTATCAACTTATAAATTGTATCTTAAAGCTTCCGTACTGCGCAAATGGTTACGTCACTCTCACGTGACGGCCAACATGCCCTCCTTCGGGACGGGGTGTGTCAGCATGGGTCCAGGTTCAAGAACATATAATGAGAGAAATTTGAGCAAAGAACTGACTAACAAACAAGTCAAGTTTTTCATTAGCCTTGGATATATTCAGGGTATAGTTGCTTCCTCCTCCAAATCCAAAAGTGTAGTTATATATATATATGTTACATATATACACTACTAATTTTGTTAGTACTAGGGAAATAGTTGATTTTTCTACGTGCACATATACATACATACATATATATATATATATATATATATATAGATATGGGTTCGATTAAAAATTCTGTCGATTGAAAATGATACTTTATGTTATCATTTACTTGGTAGATGTTTCATTTTGAAAATAAAAGATAGACTATACTTGGAACAAAATTCTTGAGACTGTTGAGGTGCCTTTGGATGCCAACTTGGTTCTTAGAGACTGTTTTGCATTGCTTCTTTCCTTACCACGTTATATGATATGGACATAATTTCTTATTTATCGTTTTGAAGTTTTTCTGGACCCTTGACTTTTTAACGTGCAAGTCATCAAGAGAAAATCAAGAATGTAAGCCATAATTACTGTAAAAAATTCCCCCCTCTATCTAACTCTAACTCTCCCCCCCCTCCTGCAGTTTTGATATGCTTATAACTGAGTAAAATTAGTTAAATTCACCCCTTCATTATTGTAGCTTCAAGTAGTTTGAGCTGTTGCTATTCCAGAAAGGCTGCTGCAAATCTTCCTATTTATGTGCCTGTTGGCATTACCGCCTCAGTATGTTGGTTTATTAAACTTGGTCAAGCAGGCCTTTTGTCTTAATTGGGATTTAGTTTGGTACTGTCATACTAATTTCCATTGTTTATAATAGTTAAAAAACCAAAAGTGCTTTCTTTTGATTATTTTCTAATATGTTTTAGCCAGTTGACAATCCTAAAAGATTTACTTAGGCACGCATCAAATTGTGTATTATTATACATGTACCTAAGATATAATGCTAGGTATATTATTATAGTTGTCTCATATTATATAAAAAAAAATTAAAGTACTCTCTTTCTCTGCATGAAAACTATATATTTCATCATGCATTTTTTAGTTAAGCTACTATGTTTTTGTAATTGTTTTGACAGAGGAGGAGGAACTGAGGCTAAAGTACCTCCAATTTGTTCAAGAGGACGCTCATGCCGCAGTTTGCTTCACAAACTTTTACTGTTAGCTTCTATACAGTATGTTGTATGTTTCGGGATATCTTTACATCTTAATTTCTACTCTCAGGTTTTTGAAAGTTTGTAATTTTACTTGCTATTGCTACTTGATTATAAAAATGTAAAACAAAATCTGTACGTGATTTATAAATTTGTATTTGATTTTAGATGTTTTTCCAGTGTAAGGCATATGTTGCACATGCATGTAAATGGTACAAATTGTTTTGGTTTTGGACAATAAGCTTTTGAGTTTTACAACCCTTGCAATGGGATTGTGACTCCAACAAATTTAGTGTTGGGGGATAAAGTTTGGTTCTTAATACATAATATAACAAAGGCCTAGAAACCTTCAAGGAATATGCAAATGTTTTTTGCGCATCTTGGCCTGCAGTTTGTGTGAAGGGGCATTAGTGTGTTATCTGCATTGGTGCATTTGAGGGTGTGATTCTGTTTTTTACCTCCTTTTTAGGTTTGAACATCTGTGCTTGACAACTTAGCTGCTCAAACAAGAACAGAACACTTTTGCAGTTTTTGGTAAGTGCTAAAATAGGTGCCTAGCCTGTAGGACATATTTTGCCGTCTTAATTGCAGGGGCAAAATATGTGTGAATTGCATGTTGCTTCTGTTTCTTCTGTTTCATATGGAAACAGGGCTTCTGCATATTATTGGCTTTGAACATTTGTGCTTGGAAAATTAGCTACTTGAACAAGTACTGAACACTTTCTATATTTTTTATTAGTTGCTGAAGCAAAATATGTGTGAACTTCATGTTGCTTTTGTTTCTTATGGAAACAGAACTTTTTTGGCAACGATGTCTTTGTGATCAAGAATGTTCAGTTTCTTCCTACTAATTGTGCAATGTCTTTACATGTTAGCTCAATTGAATGTATATAAAAGCCAAGCTGCTTATTTTATTGACCTCATTTACATGTGTCTCTCTGTTCATTCATGATTGTGTTGAATTTATTCAGGTTAAATGTGTCTTAGTCATGCACTTACGCTTGAAACAGTGGTTCCCGCTGCAACGCGTGGGCTTATTTTCTAGTTCTATCTAAATTTGTCTTTACAAATCAAGTGAAAATTACCAAGCATTCGAATATGATATATGTGCATGATAAACATGGGCGTACGTGCATAGAGATTAAGGTGGCCCTAGGATCATCTGGAATCTGGAAAATATACATGTAAAAGTCTTTTAAGGACCTTCCGAATGTTTGGTACGGAGGTCTTTGTGCCTACCAAATGTTTAACGTAATGTCTGCTAGGCATATCTTAACAGGTTGCGTCTACAACAGTTTGGACCCAATTTTACACTATCGGTTTGTGCGATCAAGGCCGTTGATGAACATAACTCTCAAACGTTGGACGACAGAATGGTTAAGATAATTATTATTGAAGGATATCTTGTGACTTTAATCATGATATTATCTTTTAATGGTGAAATATCTTGATATTTTCTTGTACAAGATGAGATGCGAATTATATCTCCAACTTGAAAGCGAGCAGTACAGTTCAATTTAATTTGGGATTCAGACGTGCGGAGGATTAGAGCATCAGAGTATTTTATCAAGAGTCCTAATACGTTACTGCAGTGTTGGCAAATGGATATAGATTGGCATAGATATTAGTGCAAGATGAGGATGCCAGATTGGAGTAATCAAAATAAGGTGATGTGATGGTAACAGGATGGTTTTGCAGATAATGCAATACTATCAACCATGATATTTTGTTTTTTTATGCATGCATGGTAGACCCGGCAGTTTCTAACACGACACGAAAATAACGGGTTTCGGGTCAACACGATAACTTATCGGGTCATTATCGGGTGATCCGTTAAGAACTCGTTAATAACGGGTTCTTAACGGGTATACATGCGGGTAACACGTGGGTATCCCGTTAAGAAAAATTTTATTTTGATAATTTTAAAGTTTAATTACTAAAAGATTTATTATAAAATACAATAGCCATATTAATATATACAATATATTCAATATTAAATATATAGTTTTGTATTATTATTCTATATAAGTTTAAAAAAAAAAAGTTTTAGTTATTATTTATTTTTATTATGAGAGTTCCTTATTATCATTATTAGGATAAATTTTATTTAACATGTTGTTGTCCAAAAAAACTAATATAATATTTAGATAAGCAAAAACTAAGAAGACATACATACAAATGTGAAAGAATATATAAACACTCGTGATTCATCATTATTCCTCCACGAGTAGATAATGGTTAATCATTTAGATTTTTAAAATCCTCCAAACCTTCATGAATAATGTTTTTTATTTGAGGGAAAAATTAATAAAATTAATAATAATTATTGTAGAAGTGTAAAAAATGTAAAAAAAATTATACAATCACTCATAGTGACAAACTTTACAACTTTCATGAAGGGGTCAGCTTCGAAATCCAACACTATAATTCATAAACCTTAAATTTATATTTAACTGTCGATTGTCATTTACGCTTTATTCTTCTTATTGAATTTCATTTTTAAAATTTTCTTTTTTGAAAACATGATCATCTGGCAAATGTAAGAAGATGAACGGTTCAGATCTTTGATATCACGTTTCAATATTTACGATTAACTGAAATATGAGTCAATGTCATATAGTTTATAGAAACTTTATAAACATCAAGCAATATTTTCACTAACCGTAAAACTCTGAATATAATATCAACGATCCAAACTGTTCATCTTCCTGCATCCTCTAATAGATCAAGTTTTCAAAAAAGAAAATCTGAAAAAATAAAATTTGATGAGAACAATGAAGAGTAAATTTAAACAACAATCAACGGTTAAATTTTGATCTATGATTTATATGATTATAGTGACGAATTTCGAAGCTAAGCTCTTCATGAAAGTTGTAAAGCTTGTCATTACGAATGTTTATATATTTTTTCTATATTTTTTTTACACTTCTACATTAATTAAAAAACTATTAAAGACTTTGGGTAAGTGAAAATATACGTAAAAGAAAAATGTGTTTTTATGTTTTGGATGTGACAATATGGTATGTATATACTTATTTAGTATTATGTTTTTCATTTGATTATTTATTGGTTTAAAATATAGTTTCCTTAACGGATAACGGGTCGGGTCATATTACCTGTTAATATTATCGGGTCGATTTCGGGTCGGGTCCCGTTTATTTTAACGGGTGTTATACGACACAACCCATTAAGATATCAGGTATGACATGAAAACGACACGAACATGGAAAACACAACATGAATACCAGGTCTAATGCATGGGATGTAAGGATAATGAAAATAATGGTCTTGGATAATGATGACAAGTCTAGCTAGGCTAGGCTATGATGATAAGAAGACTTTTATTTTGATAGGCTTTTATGAGGTTTCGAAAATCACGAACATCTATCTGAAAGATATGCCTTGGTCTCTGACTCTGATTAATTTCGGTTCCGAGAAATTGAGTTGCAGTTGGACTACAAAATTATTTAGACGTGCCAAGCGAGTACATCAACCCTATAAATACAGACGCAGTGGCAACGGGAAAAGCCCTCCAATTCAACACACAAACTGCTATGCGCAAATCCTTGCTCTACACGAAACCTCTCAACAACCTTGAGATTTTTATTTTCTTTTTCCGCCAACGCATCTTCAGTTTGGATAAACAGCACTGTGAAGGCAACCGGCAAACATCTTCAGTTTGGATAAACAGCACTGTTGCAGTAGAATCAGCCGACCGTGAAGCACCTTAAATTTGGATAAACAGCACTGCGACAGAACTGACTGGTTATCTATCCAAGTCTCGATCGAGAAAGATTTTCGAATCCTTATTGGCAGAGGTCATCTCATTAGCTTTCTCGGCGAAGTAAGGTGTTACAAGTTACCACATTCAACACATTGAAAACCGAATTTGATATTGAACTTCGCATAACTAGCAGCCTTGTCTTCAAGCTCTAGAACCCAAAGGCCGAGAGTGTTCCTTCCTCAGTTGCAATCGCAAGATCGAGAAGTCAGCAGTGCACCCAATGCAACATCAACATATTTTACTCATCGGCCAAGCTCGGCCGACGAGTTGGCACGCCCCGCATCAACCGAAGGACGTAGTTAACTCACTAGTTACTTGGCCAGCGCACCACATAGGCTTGGTAGTTTTTCAGGTCAACAACAACATTAGACAAACTCTCTCAATATCACACATCAAATTGCTTGACATATGTCGATATTTGTTGACATGTGAGCAACATGGTTTGGCTGATGAAAACAAGCACACTAAGTGTTTGACAGCATGCCCAACACCACATCAACATTCATTTTACTCCCCAGCCTCACTCGGCAGATGAGTTGGCACGTCCTGCATTCAACCGAAAGACGTAGTTAGCTCATTAGTTACTAGGTCTACATGCCACGTAGGCTAGGTAGTTTTTAGGATCAACAACCCTCAAATCTACAAAGAGAGGGATTTAAACATGGTTGTAACGGGGCAAGATCACTTTCTCCGCCAACTGACCTAACCCATACCTACAAACACTTCATTCTTCATTACTATCAAGTTATTGACACTGAATGATGCACTACATATCGTTAGTGTCAGTTCTCTTCAAGAAATGCCAAAGCCATATAACTATTTACCATTTGGGTCAGGACGAAGGTCATGCTTAAGAATCAATATGGCCCAGGCGACAATCACGATCTTTTTACACCGTGTAATTAGTAGATACAGGTGAGTGAGAGTTTGCAGTGCAGATCATTTGATTTTTTTTATCTTGTAAGAGCTATGTTTTGGCTAGTCGTTCAGGCGTGTATGTGCAATTTATTGCCGTTTGTTTTGAGAATCACATTTGAGCAAACGTAAAAATTCGCCTACGCACCGTGGAATGTGGGTATCTTATATTGATGAATCTTAAACTCTTTCCCCTAATTGTGTAGCTGGACAATTCATGATTGGGATCCTAGCCTGGAAAAGATGTCACATTCCAAGGTTAAGAAGTGGTTTGCCCATTACCTTGAAGGCCTTGTAAGAGAGTAGAACCTGGTACGCCTGAAAAGTTACGGTTCAATAATCCGGCATCTTGCCGATTGTGTGGATAGTCATTACCCCATGGTTAGCGCCGGCAACGGAGGCTGCTCCTGTATGCAAGAAAATATTATGCTTATGTCTTAGGGCTCAGATTTCTGTTTTACTGGGGCATTATGTTTGGGTCTCATTTGTGATGGTCCTTTGTGTTTTGTAGCACCTATTGTTGCTATTTTCTGGGTTTAGTCTCGCACTCCTGCGGCTTGTTCCGCTAGTTTCCTCTGTTAATGAAGCATTTCTTTTTCTGTAACAAAAAAAAGACATCGGTAAGCATGTCATTTGGCAAAATAAGTACGAATTCTTTTGTATAATGTAACCAAGAAATATAATTAGGATACAAGCACAGCGCGAAGCATCTGGGCTTAAGCAAAAACAAGCAGATCAAACTTCAGTTGA